TGTGGCCTAATATGCTAATGCACTGTACTATCAGGGATTTGGCCTATTATGCTAATGAGTTTCTGCTGTTGGGTGTGGCCAATTATGCTAATGAGTTCCTGCTGGGCTTTTTCTACAAAAAAAGCCCTGGTTTATTCTATAGACTATTAGCTCGAATTACGGAACCACACATTCATGGGACACAGGGAGATGAGAGCCCTACCCCAGAGGGCTGTTGTCAGGATAGGATGGGGGAAAGGAGAACGACATAAAGGACAGCTGGGATTGGTTGTACTAGATGTTTATTTATCTGTAAAGCCTAATGGAGGACTTTGAACCCGTTGCTGTCTCTCAGCCTGACCTACTTCACAGGGTTGTTGTGAGAATAAAATAGGGAGAGCCACATTAGCCACGTGGAGCTCTATGCAGGAACAGAAAGATAACGTGCAATAGATGCGTTGATTGATTATTGTTCTGGGATGAACCTTGTATATGTGTCTCTAAAGTGCCGTTAAATCACAGCTGACTTATGGCGACGCACTCATATGATTTTCATGGTAAGAGACTGAACAGAGATGGTTTGCCATTGCTTGCCTCTAGGGTGTAACCTCCAGCTCCATAAATAGTTTTCGTTTCATTTTTTTTAAAAATCCAGTGACTTAAATTTAGTGGTCTTTCATGAAGTTTTTTTTTTTTTAAAGGGTGTTTTGCATTAATATATTTTTCCCACCATGTTTTACCGTTTAAGCTCGGGCTTCCTGGTGATGGAACAAAGACAAAATAAGCGTGAAAGATAAGAAGCTTGACCTTGTCTCTCTGCTTCTTCCCCCTCTAGAAATCTTTCCAGTAACAAGATCAGTGTTTTACACGCGGAGAGTTTTGCACATCTGACTTCCCTGACAAAACTGTAAGTATTCGTTACCGGCACTCAAATCCGGATACCTTTTCGGTACTTGGGGGCGGGCCTGTGCTTCCACAGTTGCGCTAGACAAGCATGAAAGAGGCTATTTAGTGTCCAGTTCGGCATCCGGGGAATCTCTGCTTTCATTTAAAAAAAAACAAAAGGTCGTTTCCAGAAGTCTGGAGACAATGTCTGGAAAAAATCTCAAAAGCTAGAAGGGGGGGGGGCGTGTTTGAGAAGGAATCCCCTCTTGGTGAGTTAAAGAAGTGGTGGGAATTGTGCAGCAGAACTGGCACAGTGCAGTGCAGAGGTGCACTTAGGATCGCGGAGACCTCCACACTGCCGTGAAGCTTCCTGGGTGTCCTTGAAGCTAGCCACGCATTCTCTCATCCTAACCTACCTCAGAGGGCTGTTGTGAGGATAAGATGGGGGAAAGGAGAACGACATAAAGGACAGCTGGGATTGGTTGTACTAGATGTTTATTTATTTACTTCATTTAGGTTGTGGTCAGACGGCGTGATTATAGCGCTGTTGACACGCCTCATAAGAATATAAGAGACGCCAATGTTGGATCAGGCCAAAGGCCCATCCAGTCCAACACTCTGTATCACACAGTGGCCAGAAATACCAGGTGCCATCAGGAGGTCCACCAGTGGGGCCAGGACATTAGAAGCCCTCCCACTGTTGACCCCCCCAAGCACCAAGAAGACAGAGCATCCCTTGCCCCAGAGTCCCTATCTATACCTTGTGGCTAATAGCCACTGATGGACCTCTGCTCCATATGCTTATCCAATTCCCTTTTGAAGCCGTCCATGCTTGTAGCCACCACCACTTCCTGTGGCAGTGAATTCCATGTGTTAATCACTCCGTGGGTGAAGAAGTACTTCCCTTTATCCTCAAATATTACCTGGGTTTATTTATTCCGCAGTAACACGGACACCCAGTGTACACCCCACGGTGTACCCTCCAGACACTTGCCAGCGTGCACCATTTTTTTTAAAAAAACCAACCCCCACATGCATGCGCATAAGTGTTTATTCATTGACTTCCATGTCCGCACACTGATGTGATGGGTGACAGTAATGCGCCTATGCGCGTATCGCTAACTTTTAAAAAATGGTGCCATAAGTCGAACCCCCAACGAGTGGGTTCACTTTGCACTGGAGTGATCAGACATCTGGAAATGCGCGGTGATGACAATAGCTTTCGCGAAACATGGGCTTTCTCTGGTGTCAGGAAAGTCAGCAGTGACTGCAATGCAGGATACCTCCTCTGACGTCCGGGCGCACTTTTTTAAACCGGAGGGGAGACGTGGAGACACTGGATCAAGAAGCCCATCTGATCACACCCTTATCTCCCACCGTTCTCCACAAAGGGGACCCAGAGTAGCTTCCCTCATTCTCCTCTCCTCCATTTTATCCTCACCACAACCCTGGGAGGTAGGTCAGGATGAAAGCGTGTGACTGGCCCAAGGTCACCCAGCAAGCTTCCATGGCAGAGTGGGGGGTTAGAACCTGGGTCTCCGAGGTCCAGGGCTATTTTTGGGCAGGAACGCACAGGAACAGAGTTCCGGCTAGCTCCCGAGTTGGCCACGCCCAGCAGGAACTCATTAGCATAACAGGCCACACCCAACAGCAGAAACTCATTAGGATTGGCTACATTAGGGGTGTGTGGCCTAACATGCAAAGGAGTTCCTGCTACAAAAAAAGCCCTGGGTTTTGACCACAAACAAGGTAAACAGAATAAGAAGCAAAAGGTGGGTGTGGCTGGATGACCACACTTCTGGCAGCATGGGGGTGCGGCCTAATATGCTAATGAGTTTCAGCTGTTGGGTGTGACCTATTATGCTAATGAGTTCCTGCTGGGCTTTTTCTACAAAAAAAGCCCTGCCGAGGTCCAATACTTTAATCACTACACCACGCTGGCTCTCAGATAGATGGGCTGGGCAGGGTACGGTTGAATGGCCGACTGAATACTGGTTCGGTGTGTGTTGGTTTTTTTTAAAGCAACAAGTGTTATTCAAGCAATTGATCGAGGTTATTTATATGCCGCCCTGGAGCTAAGGAGCGCTGGGCTGAAACGGAGATCTAGCCGCGACAGAGTCTGAACAGAACCAGAAGCGGGAACCCGTGCCAAGTCTCCCAAGCCACTGGCTTGTAAAAAGGGAAATTGGCTGCGATTTTAAAGGCCTCGGTTCCTTGGTTCCCCCCAAAGCAATGCCGCCTCGGCAGGCCGAAGCCTCTGCCTCCCTGACAGTTGCACATAAGGAGGAGAAAAAAGGAGGCAGGCAAGGCGAGGGGGGGGGACTTGTCAGGCCTCAGCGGTTGAGTAGGTGAAAGTTTTCGACGTTCCTGCGGGCCCTGTTGGCTCCCGGTGCCAGAAGGGAGAGGTGGATTGTCGGCAAGGCCCCGGTCAGAATTAGCTGTTTATACTGTCGGATACCTGGGCCTGAAAAAACCGCCCGGGCTGAAATTCTATCTCTGGGCAGCGGGCCAGGGGGAGGCCTACGGGATGAAGTGCGACTCCGGCGGTTTCTGCGCAAAAGGGGGATTTATGCCTAGAGGAAGTCGAAAGGAGCGCTTTAGCGTGTGCATTTTGTTCCAAGCACTGGGGAGGGGAACACCCCCAAACAGCTGATATTTAGGGAGTAAGAAAAGAGGGGGAAATAGTTTGTGGTACTGACAACCCTCTCTCTCTCTCTCTCTCTCTCTTTTTTTGCCTCTCTGACTGCAGAGATTTAAGCAACAACAAGATTTCTACATTAGAAGATGGCGTATTTGATAATTTATTTAATTTAAGCGAAATGTAAGTCCCAAAGCACGTTTTTTAATTTTGATTATGACATTTCTGGACCTGTTGGGCAAAACCCTGTTTTCTGCATTCAGGCCCCTTTTGGGGGCTTTAGAAACATCCCTCTGGGGCCCTGACTCCTTGACTCTAGCTGGCTGCTGGTGTTGACATTGTTCATGGTGGGGTGGGGTCTCTTGGATCCATCCCTCTGCCGGCTCTTTATGCCTTCGTGTGGGGGGAAGACCGCCGCAGAATGGATTTCTGAGGTCCAACCTGTAGTCATGCCTGTTGAGGTCTTGAGGAATGGGCACAGAGATTGAGGAATAAGCACAGAGGTCCTGCAAACTCTCCCAGGGCTGAACTACTCTCTACCTTTTGAGCTTGACGTTTGAAAGACAGAGCTGACTTTTGGAGTCCACGGGGTCCCTGGATGGGTCACGCTTTGTCTAAGCTGCCTCACGTGGATGACTGCGAGGAAAGATGTTGGGATTCTTTTTGAGTAAGCCAGCAGAGTATTAAGAGACTGAGTCCATGGTGTGCATTCAAATATAAAAGTTTACGATAAACCTAACATGGGGAAAAGGTACACAGGATATGAAAATAACAAAGAGCTCGTATGTCTACATCCTTACAGCTAAAAGGTAAAACGGGAAGAGCCGAATGGCGTCTCCTTCTCTGGTCAGAACAAAGAATGGAAGGAGAAGCCAATATGCTAAATACTTGACACCTTGGTTTCCAATCAGACTAGCAAGTTAGCTCCAAAGTTCCCGGGCATTCCATTGTCTAAACAGATTGGTTACAAACTAACATGTGACTTAACAAACATCATTAACCCTGTAAATACTGAAGTGTTTTTGACTTTAACACCCAACAAAAGAACTGGACATCCTCATGTATAGTGCTGCGGGCTCCTTTGGAGTTGGGAAAGGATAGACAAGTTTGACCTGAGGAGAGAATACTATTAGCTCGGGTTGCCAAATTCCAGGTGGAGATCCTGGAGATCTCCTGCTATTAACAACTGATCCCCAGGCAACAGAGATCAGGTCCCTTGGAGAAAAGGGCTGCTTTGGCGGATGGACTCTATAGCATTATATTAAGGCCCTAAAGGTTAAGGAGATCTGGATGCATAGGGCCAATAATTCTGTAATGCCCTCTCCCCCAGCAGTGAAAGAAGGGGCTTGAGAGGGGGGTCTCACCTCGACGGTCGTCAGCACCCTCTTTATTTATTTATTTATCTATTTATTTTATTTTATTTATACCCCGCCCTCCCCGCGAATGGGCTCAGGACGGCTCACATAGAGCACAAAGTGCATACAGTATACAAAAATTAAAACAGATTAAAATCGATTTCAACGGATGCACATAGAACTGAGAAACAAAATCAGGATATTTTCAAAGTAATGTTATTAGCAGCGCATGCAGTGATTGCATATGGTTGGAAGGAGAGCTCAAAATGGACTTTAGAAAAATGGAACAAATATTTATATGAATATATACAATCGGACATATTGGAATGTTTAAAGCAAGACATGGACTGTAAAAATGAAGGAGATAAAAAAGAAATGGTCGGTATACTTTAAATGGGTTTATAAAGGGGAAGCCAACAGGGGTATAGTTGAAAAGTTGGAAAGAATGTGCTCGTGGTTGAAAATGTAATTTGAATAACATGATGGTGGCCACCTTAGGGGGGGAGGGATAAAATAGGGGAAAAGAAGTATCAAAAAGTTGGAACTAAACTGTAATGTAATAACAATATTGGGATACAATAAAAAAATAGAAAGAAAGAAAAAAGGATGCACATATAAAACTCCTAAAATCTTGCGTAGCAGAGGGAAAGGCTAGGGCAATGGAAATGAGGATGCCGAGAGTTGGGGGGGGCAGGTTAAAGGGGAATAAATGGATAGCTGGTGCCATCGGTGCTGGACGTCTGGGGGAACGTTTGGTGTCCCATCTCATTGGGACCTCCAAATGCAGTCTGCAGCCCTCTTGAACGAAGTAGGACTTGTCTGTGTATGTGAAGTCCCGTCAAGTCGCTTCTGGCTTCTGGCGACCCAGTGAATCAATGTTCTCCAAAAACGTCTTCTTCGTTAGCTGCCATTCTCAAGTCTTGCAAACTGAGGGCTGTGGCTTCTTCATCGAGTCCCTCCATCTCCTGTTGGGTCTTCCTCTTTTCCTGCTGCCTTCCAGTTTGGTGTCGTGGTTAAAGTGCGCGGACTCTAATCTGGGAGAACCGGGTTTGATTCCCCACTCCTCCACTTGCACCTGCTGATGTGACCTTGGGTCAGTCACAAGCTCTGGCACAGCTGTCCTTGAAAAAGAGCTGTTCTCTCAGAGCTCTCTCAGCCCCAGCCACCTCACAGGGTGTCTGTGGTGGGGAGGGGAAGGGGAAGGAGATTGTAAGCCGCTCTGAGACTCCAAGTGAAGGGCGGGGCATAAATCCAATCTCTTCTCTTCTTCTAATCCTAGTATTATTGTCTTTTTCCAGTGACTCTCGTCTTCTCAGATTGTGGTCAAAGTATGATCGCCTCAGTTGAGTCATTTGAGCTTCTAGGTAGAATTGGTCTAGAACCAGCAGAACTTAACTTTGGGGTAAATTATGCTTAGAATCTAGTTACACTGTGTGTGGTTATCTCTGGAGATGATGGGGTGAGGCAGGATGAGGCAAGATGTTGATTCTGTTCTTCGCATTTGAATAATACATTACCCACTAACCTTCATAAAGACCATGAAGTCCAGAGCATAACATTTCCTACCTGCCTCCCTGAGAGTTCTCACCACGAGAACTGTTATCAGGAAATGCAGTAAAATACAAGGCTATTGGAAAATGGTACGAAAGATAATTCAAGAAATTCTAGAAAATAATTTAGCTATAAAACCAGAAATATATCTGTTAAATATAATCCCGGATGGATATAATGTGCAAGCATCATACCTATTCGTTTATATAATAACGGCTGCTCGACTTTTACTGGCTAAAAATTGGAAATCTGAGATAATACCCTCTAGAGAAGAACTAACGCTGAAGATATTAGAATTAACACAAATGGATAATTTTGAGTTTGACATTACAAAACCAAAAATGAAAAGGTACATACGAAGAGATGGTTAAAGGTGTATAAATGGTTAGAAGAATTGTCAGAAGTTTAACTGACTTTATAATATATGTAATGTACAGATGGAATGTCTGATGTGTAAAACTAAAATAAAAAAACTTTTAATATAAAAAAAAGAACTGTTATCAGGTCATAAATCTGCCCACCCTCGGGTGGTAGCTGGTCCATGATACCCTCCACTACCTACCATACGTAGGAGAGAATTTGGGGTTGTCAACCCCTGAATTAAAGCCCCCACATTTCCCCACCCTCCTCTTTTGTTCTCAGTGTTGCACAGAAGGTGTGGTTAGCGCCCCCACTCAATTCTCCATTGTTTCACCAGACTGACATTTCAAAAAGCATGTCATTAGGTTTTGACAGGCTGCTTTTTTTAATCCCGCTGAAGCCTTTTTTGGAAATGCCACGTCCTCGTTGGCCGCCGATCCCATCTCATGTGAAGTGGCAGAGTGCTCGTTAATGCCAAACTCATTTCTTCTTCTCCTCTGCTTATAATTACAGCAATTATTAATGGAACGAATTATTTTCACGGTTCCGATCTTTGTGTGTGTGTCTGGGTGTGGGCTGGGGATGGAATCGCATTAATGATTGCATGCTTCTCTGGTTGTTAACCATACACGGTTCTTTACAAAGCAGTGCATGGAGAGGGGTGCCACTGGGAATAATAATAATAACAACAATAATAATAATATACTTTATTGTCATTGTACATAGTACAACGAAATTAAGATGCAATCATTCGGTGATCTACAACCATACTCATATACACTCACACAACCATTCACAACCATCCCATAACTCCCTTAAGGTTCACATTGCAACTTAAACCACCAATGTCACCCAAATTCCAATTTTTTAAAAAATAATTTTTATTGAAATATAACATATAAAAGAAGACAAATACCGCCACCAGATATACACCCTAACACCCTCACCATCCCTACATTAAATTCGATCCTATATCATATCTATTATATATCTGCATAAGCACAGTATGTTACATATAAATTTCCTTATAGATTTTTATACATTCTTATCAATCCAGTTCTATACATTTGACCACATAGTTAAGAACGCTGAGTTTGTTCTCCCGTGGAGTTTCTGTGTTAAATTGTCCATTTCTATTGTCTCAATTACTTTATTTATAAAATCCAGCCTGTCTGGAATTTCATTTCTTTTCCAATAGCTAGCTAATACAATTCTAGCTGCTGTCAGGAGATAAACCCAAATTCCAATTCATACAGCATTTAAAGCAATAATAGCTCTCGAATAAAAACTGTTTTTTAATCTGTTTGTCCTTGTATTAATTGTCCTATATCTTCTACCCGAAGGCAGCAGTTCAAACAGGGAGTGTTCAGGGTGTGACAAATGAAGGGCTATTGGCGGTTGGCGTAATCAATATTCTTGCTGGCCTCTCCTGGCGATGGTACTGTGCAGTCCATCTCACTGCTCTCCTTGTTTCAGAAACCTGAGTCTGAATCCATTCCTTTGTGACTGCAACCTCGCCTGGCTTCCCCGCTGGCTGGACAGAAGGAAAGTGAAAGTCGCGCGCCCACTGGATACCAAGTGCGCCCAGCCACCCGAGGTGGCCAACCTTCCTCTTTTCAATGTTTCATTCACCGATACAACTTGTGGTAAGAGGAATGGGTCAGGCTCTGGAAGAGAGCATTTGAAACGGAATAGGATTATACTGAGCCGGTCACAATTAATAACAGTGCTTATGTGTATGGCTTCACAAACCTATCAGGGTTTCGGTTCTTTACATTCAAGGGATCCGAATGCTTCCTCCCTTATGGTTCAGAAATGGGAGGGCAACTGTTTGGAGGAATTTTGGGTGACTCTCTTACACTTGTTTCTTTTACACCCGCCATTTTTAGTGCTTTCCAGTTTGGTGTAGTGGGAGAACCGGGTTTGATTCCCCACTCCTCTACTCGCAGCTGCTGGATGACCTTGGGCAAGCCATACTCCTTTCAGAGCTATTCTCTCAAGGGCAGTTTTCTCAGAGCTCTCTCAGCCCCACCTACCTCACAGGGTGTCTGTTGTGGGGAGGGGAAGGGGAAGGAGTTTGCAAGCCGCTCTGAGACTCTGAGTGAAGGGCGTGGTATAAATCCAATCTCTTCTTCTTCTTCTTGATTGTAATGTCTATTATCCTGGACCCATTATCTTAGGCCTGAGAGCCATCGTGGTGTAATGGTTAAGAGTGGCGGACTCTAATCTGGAGAACCAGGTTTGATTCCCCAGTCCTCCACAAGAAGCCAGCTGGCTGGCCTTGGGCCAGTCACAGTTCTCTCAGAGCTCTCTCAGCCCCAAAACAAGTCTAGCCCGCCTCCTAGTGGTGCATCACATAAAAAGAGCTGAACTGGATGCCAGACAATCTTAGGATCTCCTGGATATACTACACCCACTGCTATACAATAATTATTATTTATTAATTATCTTAGGCCTCCACGTAACAGATGTGTAAGGAAGTCTCTTTGTGCCTGTAATGGTCTCTAGTTCTTACAGGTAGTGCAGGCAGCCAAACATATAAAACGTAATTCCAGCTTTCTTCTTCCCCTGAGCTATTGGTAAGAAGCATAGCTCCTCTCGTCACTTCAACAACTAGTTTTGCCTCGCTTGAGGAAACTAGAAAACGGTACCTATGTGAAGGCCGACCCCACTAGTACCTGCACGTAGTTATTTTCTTCTTATGATGCAGGAAAGCCTTTCTGTCTGTTTTATTTCCGGGTTTTCCTTCAGCCTCACAGGAAAGGAGGGGTAAATACTGGGTGAAAGAGGAGAGAGGTGTGATTAGAAGAGGATTCATGAGACTGTGGTTTGGCATTTTGGATTTACGCAAGGCTTCTTTTGCGTGTATCCCTCTCCAGAAGCTGAGTACATCGCGTGCCTGACGGACAGCGCTACAGGACTGGCCGATTCCATCGTCCGATTTGTATACCAGCTCCCTCAGAACTGGACTGAGGAGATCTGCGGTGCTCAATGCTATGTCGAAGGGCAGGACTACGGGGGCTTCAGCGATGACGGGCATTGCCTGTGCGGTCCCGCTCTCGAGCCAAACTCTTCCACGGACTGTTTGCCGTTTTGCACAGAGCCATTTTCCAGGCCTGTCTGTGGGGGGCCTTCTATTGTCTCAAATGTTTTCCTGGCGCAGCTGCACATTTCCTTATCAGGGCCCAGGAACCCTTCCAGTCTTTACCAAACAGTGGCTTTCAACATCAGTGTCCCGCTTGCCGTGGGCAACTTCCAGTGGGACTTTGGGGACCAGACACAGCTTTTCAATACCACCAAGGCAGCTGTTCTCCACAAGTACTCTTTGCCCGGACGCTACAACGTCACCGCCACCGCCGTTGTGGGCAGTCGCTTTACCTCAGTGCAGACAGAAATTGAGGTGGTGGCACCTCCGGGAGAGATAGAGCTTCAGTGTCCTCCTTTAGTGAAGGCCAATGAAAGTTTGCAGCTGCAGATCAGGAACCGAGGAGGGACTGGCCTGTCGGCCGTGTACAGTGTCGTGGCACAGGACGGCGAAACTGAACAAGGTGTGTTAAGGCCTAGTGTTTGACAAGACACGCATCTGGGAGTGGGTCTTATGCTTCTTTTGGCAGCTCGGATGTTCTTCTAGCGTTTTCTCCCCATGCTTGGCTTCCTGTCTCAATTGAATCAGTTCAAACAGCAGCCCGTAGTTTGGCCCTTCTGCCAAGGGCCCAGACCAAAACAGTTTTCCCTGTTGTTTATGGTGGGGTCACCTTCCTCCAGTGTCCTGGGCCTCAGTCCCAGGAGTCCCTGAGCAACAGTGGGTGAAACATAGCCTTTAGCCACTCCCTATAATACCATCCCAGCCAGCATGGCGTTGTGGTTAAAGTGTGGACTAGGATCTGGGAAACCCGAAACCCATATTTGAATTCCCCACTCTGCTACGGAGGCTTGCATACCGACGAATGAGAACAAGAAACTGTGACATGATGCACAAACAAAAATACTGAATAATACAGTAAAGTATGTTTTAGGGCTCTTTTTGTAGCAGGAACTCCTTTGCATATTAGGCCACACTCTTACAGGAGCTACTGTAAGCTCTTGGAGGATTGGCTACATTAGGGGTGTGTCACTTAATATGCAAATAAGTACCTGCTACAAAAAGGGCCCGGAATCCCCCACTCTGCTACAGAGGCTTGCATACTGACAAATAGAACAAGAAACTGTGACATGATGCACAAACAAAAATACTGAATAATACAGTAAAGTGTGTTTTTAAACAAATAGTGTTCTCTTGTTTTTCATCCGACAAATTATTACAAAGGCTGATTATAGTTCAAGAAAATTCTGTCCAAAAGACAAAATATCACAAATAATAGTAACAGACGAAACAGAAAACTCTGTATGTTAAGTCCAGTCCAAAGACTGTCCAGAAGATGAGCAAAAGATGAGGACGATGTATCTGAATTTAGATTCAACTTGTTTTAAGTCGAAAGACTTTTCCTCAGCTAAGACTCAGTGGTGGACTGATACCTGCAAGTGGGGGAAACCCCTTTACAGTTTGGTGTAGTGGAGTGGTTAGGAGTGCGGACTCTAATCTGGGAGAACTGGGTTTGAGTCCCCACTCCTCCTCCACATGCAGTTGCTGGCGTGACCTTGGGTCAGTCACAAGTTCTCTCAGAGCTCTCTCAGCCCCACCTACCTCACGGGGTGTCTGTTGTGGGGAGGGGAAGGGAAAGGAGGTTGTAAGCCATTCTGAGACTCCTTCGGGTAGTGAAGGGCGGGGTATAAATCCAGTCTCCTCTTCTATATGAAACAGTACACAATATTAAATGCAGATACTGAACCAATCCAAATTCGTACAAGGATACTAAATTCTTCTCTTTTTGTTGGTATACGTGTGGTTTTGAGTGTAGTTATATTTTAAAAATGACAATGAAGTACTTCCAACTGATGTACAGATAATCTTTGGACTGGAAATACTGGACTTTCTATTTAGTCTGTTACTAATATTTGTGATATTTTGTCTTTTGGACAGAATTCCCTTGAACTGTAATCAGTCTTTGTAATCATTTTTCGGATGAAAAATAACACTGTTTGTTCAAAAACATACTTTATTGTATTATTCAGTATTTTTGTTTGGCCATCGTGTCACGGTTTCTCGTTCTCATTGGTCAGTATTCTATTGGCTGTGATTCCTCTATTTTTGGTGCATGTATTGAAGCTTGGACTGCACCCAGAATCAAGGACTTACACGAGAGGAGTCAGCATACTCATTGCAAGCATGCTGCCCTTTCCAGCCCCTCTCCTGACCTTCTGCCCCATGTTGAGTACCGTTCCGATCGTCTGCTGGGGTCGTTGGGCCCCTTTTGGGCCTGGCCTTGGAGGGGGGCTCCTTCCTCTGCAAGGGACTGGCCCTCAAGCCTCAAAGGAACAGTGTGAAGGTGCCCGTGTTGTTTTTCTCTCGTGCAGAGGTACACCCGATGTGCCCCACGGACAGCGTGGTCTTCCCCGGGAACAGCCACTGCTATCGGCTGGTGGCAGAGAAAGCCGAATGGCTGGAGGCCCAGCGGCATTGCCAGGAATTCGGCAACGGAGACTTGGCCTTTGTCAGCAGCCCGGAAATCCAGAATTTCTTGGTCTCCCATGTCACCAGGTGAGTGAGTGAAGGCTGTTGCGGCCTCTCCCGCGGTGTCTCTTTCAAGGCCTAGCAACAGCCCAGCACGTATTTGATTTTATTAGTACAGGCGTCCCCGACGCAGTGTCCTTGGTTCCTGCCGACCCCTTTCTTGGTGTCCGTCCGTTAGACGTGGCTAGGTGGATCTTTTCCCCAGCAGGGCTTCTGATTGGCCGTGCGGATTAAAAGGCACCCTGTCACACAGAGCTTCTGCCTGAAATGTTGAAGCGTTACTATTAGAGTTGTGCATAACCTCGATCCTTGACATTTTATTCTTATTTACTTTTATTTATCTTTAGATTTATATCCCGCCCTCCCCGAAGGCTCAGGGCGGCTCACAAGGGGCACGAATGCCCAAGTTGAAACATTAAAACAGTACAGAATAATATAAAATACAATAACTACAGTACACTAAAATTTACTTTACGGTGCTCCACAATTAGTTAACTATAAAATTCAGGATGGGGTTCTAAAAATACTAACAACAAGCAACAATAATAACAATCAGTATAGCAGCAACAATATACGTCCATACAGCGTTGTTCTCTGCCAGGCACGTCTCGCACCCCCAATAGTCCCCGCTCCGGGGGTGGTCAATTTGCAGGACCAATAAGGGGGACGATGGCAACATGATGATGATGGCATAATGATGGTGGCGCCGGCTCCTACTGGTGGAAGAGCTCCGTTTTACAGGCCCTGCGGAACTGCACCAAGTCCCGCAGGGCCCGGATCTCTTCTGGGAGCTCATTCCACCAGGTAGGAGCCGCCACCGAGAACGCCCTAGCCCTGGTAACCGCAAATTTTATGTTTCTGGGGCCTGGAATGTCCAGGAGATTTTGCGTCCCCGACTGTAGTGCCCTTGGGGGAACATGCAGGGAGAGGTGGTCCCTAAGGTAAGCCGGCTTATGGTTGGCTCTGCCCCCCTGTGACAGCAATTTTGTGATTGGCCCTGCCTCCTGCGGCAGCCATTTTATGCTTGTGCCTGCTGCCCTTTGGCAGAATTCCAGAGGTGCCCACAGGCACAAAAAGGGTGGGAACCCGTGTGTTAGGGCAAAGCAACACACTATACTGACGAGCCATTGTTACTTAGACCCGTCTCTTCCAGTGAAAGCGAACACAGGGGTGGAGTGGAGGCAAAGGGGGCCATGGTTGGGATGGAATGGAAGCGCTCAACTCCTCCTGTGCCTCTTGACTGTCCCCTACAACTTCTGTTTTCAAAGGGAAAACTGGGTTTGCACACAGGGGTGTAAACGGGATGGGAACCCTTAGCATACCCCAAGCTTAAACCGGGATGGTTCAGTCTTCACCAGGTCCGCAGGTCTGTGATTTCATAAGCCTGGGGCACTCTGCCTCTGTGAAGGCCCTGTCACTCTTCCAAGTTTCCCGAAGGCTTGACCGATTTTTCCAGGGTTGAAATCTGGCAGTTCCTTCGTCTCCACTTCGCAGTAGGTGGAAACATGGGCTCCCAGCGGAGCCCTCAGGAGTGCAGCCAGGAAGATGGGGTGCTCCGATGGTCCCTTTCCTTCTGGCTTGCAGTCAACATTGCCATCCTGTCGCATGGCGCACCCCCTTTCCTCCTCAAGAAAAAGTGGCTCGTTTTCTACCGAGGCTGGCCTCTGAGGGCATCTGCTCCAATCTGGGGGTCTGCATTTGATTCCCTCCGGCCCCACCGATGCCCCTTTACCCTGCTCACATGACGGGCAACTCAGCTGGGACCAGCTGACTCTGCCGTCTTTCTTTTACAGCACATTTCCGGACGCCATCTTTACTAAACGAACATCTCTACCCCAGGTCAAACCCCCGTAGTTGATCCTGACCGCTCTCACCAAGCCCCTGGGAGGTCTTTTGCCTTGGAAAGGCCGTCCTTGTGAAGGGTTATCAGCCACACGGCTGGACTTTATCCTTCCCTTGCAGGGAGACTGTTTTAGTACGTTTGCCAACCTCCAGGTGGTTATACAAACGTGAGATCACGGGATCGGTTGTAAGTAAACAAAAAACAACCGTGGTATTATTATGCAATCTATTCAATAATTATTATTAAGCATTTCTATTATGGTAAGACGCTGAACTGCAGGCTGTGGAAGGTCAGTAGTTCAGCAGTTCAAGACCTGAGTTGCCACATGACGGAGTGAGCTCCCATCTCTAATTCCAGCTCCCGCCAACTTAGCAGTTCGAAAGCAAGAAGTTGCAAGTAGATAAATAGGTACCACTTCGGTGGGAAGGTAACAGCGTCCCGTGCGCCTTGGTGTTTAGTCATGCCGGCCACATGACCACGGAAACGTCTTTGGACAGCGCAGGCTCTTCGGCTTTGAAACACAGATGAGCACCACAACCCTAGAGTCGGATTCGACTGGCTTTCGAGCAAGGGAACCTTTACCTTTTTTTTACAAATTACAAAACACATTCCAGTACAAAGTATACAAATATTTAAAGCATCCTTGTGAACCAAACTGTCCATGCTCAAAGTTCCTCTGAGTAAGACAGCTCAAAGTGGCTTTACACAGTCCTCCTTGGACGCAGATGTAAATTATCCCAAATATCGGATCAACTTTCGTGGCTGCAACAGGGATCAGTTGTAAAAGCGGGAGATCTCCAGGTCCCACCTGGAGGCTGGCAACCCTGTTTTCAGGCTGGAGGAATGGGACTGGGGAAAGCTGTTTCCTTGCTCCTCCTCCTGTCCCGTCATCCTCTGCTTCCTTTGCTGGATTAATCCTATTAGATAAACCCCCGGGAGGCGATTCCAGGATGCGACTGAGAGTTTCTTCTTCTCCCTCCTCTCTCTCCGCCTTCCCTCGCCTCTAAGTTAGTGACACAGGATGAATTGGGGGGGGGAGCTGTGGATTGCTTTCTTGGAAGGCCCTCGACTTCCACGGTTTCTTGTGGGAAAGCAGCAGCAGCAGCAGCAGCAGAAATCTGTTTCCCATTAGACTGCAGCAGCCAGGACACAGAGTCTCTTTCTCCCCTCTTTCTTCCTCTTCATATCGCTGGAGGGCTCCCTCCTCTTCCTGACCCGTGGCTTTTCGTCCGCCTGTTCCTGTCCCCCCCCCCGCACCTGTCCCCAGCACAACAGAGAGACCCCCCTCGCCCTCGGCAAGGTTTTATGCACCTTCTTTCTTGGCGGTCTCCCTTCCGAAAGCCCGCTGGCCGCCTTTGGGAGCTCTTGTGGTTGGGGGCGGGCCACGGAGGCACCGGTCCATCTAGTTGTTTTTGAATGACTCTCCCAGTTAGATCATAGCTGGAATCGGAGCAGCGAATCCCCTCCGGGCCTCTTGGAGATGGCAGGTAGTTGGCCCCTTCCCCCACTCTGCGGCACCGAGTGCCAGGAGAACTCGCAAACAGAGCACGGCGGCGGCGGCTTGTTCTTTCGACGGCGTTTTGAAGCCCCTTTCTTTAAAAAAAAAACCCCAGCAAAATGAAATTAAAAGCCCTTCTGCTTTGCAAGAGAAAAGTTATTTTTGACATCGTTTTCTCACTGCGAAAGCGCCTTTTGGCATGACCTCATTTGGCAGAGAGGTGCAGTGGGAAGACGGGGGCGTTCACAGACTCCTTGCCCGTCCGTTCTGCCTGAAGATCTTGAAGGGAGATGGGCTTAGCAGAGGTGTGAATTTTTTAAAAAACAAACCAAAAAACCAAGGATTCTGAGTCCGTGGTTGCAATAGATGTAGGACAGTATTCTGCAACATTCCACATTCTGCAGCAAGGGAACTACAAGCTTACAAACGCATGTCATTGAACCATATGTGCGGAGTCTGCGATCACAGAAACACCGTTTGCTTTTTCCAAATCTTCATCTTTTCTATCTTGGACATGTTTACCTTGTCCTCCTAACACTAAGGAGCTGGGGGAAGCACTCACAGTTCTCGATTCCCTCTTTGATCCTTACAACAATCCTGTTAGGTTGAGAGAAAGAGAGAGAGAGAGAGAGAGAGAGACTGGGCAAAATAAGTGCAGGCTTCATGGCAGTGTGAGGATTCGAATTTGGGTCTCCCAGCTCCCTACACCGGCTCTCTTTCTGTTTTGCTGAGCCACAAGGGAGGTCTCGAAATGACCATGCCCTCCTTTCACAGACTGCAGAAAAATCAATATCACTTTGCAGGATGCAGCCGTACAGGTACGGTACATCCTGGCCTCCGGAGGTTCTCCTGAACTTCCGTGTCAAATATGCAAAATCCACTAGGAAAAACACCATCAGAAAATTGCCAAAAATATATGAACTCTATTTCACAAGTTATCTCTATTCCACAAATTACAGTATTAAAGTTGGTGGTGTGTCACAACATCAAAATAAGTGCATACTATAACTATAAACAAAGCTTAAAGTACAACATTTCCTCCTTCAAAAATTAAAGGTCCATACAGTCCGTACAACTTGGTTGGAGGAATCTACATTTACGACGCTTTTCACAAGCGGCCTTCGTAAAAACGCCTGTTCCAGATACTTAAAAGGAGACGTTTCCGTCAACTTTCTCGGTTTGCTGGCTGCGTAGTTGGAACCCAGTTTCTACAATTTCCCCTGACAGCAAGGTTCATAGTGTAAAGAGTGAATCATAGGTTCTCTGTGGCGGCTTCTACAATTCCTTGAGGAACTGCTTGCAAAGCTAGATCCACGGCTATGGGGACTAGAAAGGGTGTTCACATTCCAGTGTCTCCATCCTGCGTGTGCAGAGTAGGATCCGTCAACTTTGCACGCAGAGGACTGGGATCCAGGAGCCAAAGATGGCTGGCGAATGAGTCCCGTGAGCAAGCAAGCTCCTTTGCCATCCTCTGTACTCCCTCCCTTCCCCAGTGCTGTGGGGTGACCGCAGCTGAGGCTGCCCTTCTTTTTGGTGTTTGTTCAGTGGCCCTGTCTTTCCTGTGCCCGGCTACTCACACTGGAAGCAGGAAGTGGGTGATAAGACATATCAGAAAGAGAACATGGGGGAGAAGTGACAATAATTTTATCATCATCATCATCATATGGCAGTGTGTGTGGTGTAGCC